ACACACAGATTCTAGAAAAGGTTCTCAGAGTCATAGATCGATGTTGAAAATATTACTGTAAGAAAGTAATGCGTTCAAGAGATCTCATCTGATTGGGGCGTTCATATTAATTCACAAAGAATTAACACTACCAACCACCATGGATAAAACGGTTAATGGTCCTTGGGATAAACGATTCAGACTCGAAAACATTATTTTTATGGCAAAGACTCACCATAAAAACAACATCTCCAAGGAATCTACTCCAAGCGGGATTTTCGCTTCAACTCAACGTGAAAGACTCCACGCAAGTCTCCACTACACAACCACCATCCTAATCCTAGGGTTTTACTCAGACTCGGGTGTAGAGCCATCTCACAAAGTAACCATAAGCAGAACAACCCCACAATGCCATAAGCACAAGTAACCAAAATAAGGATACCAACAAATAAGCGAGAAGAAAATAAAAGACAACAAGCTAACAACTCAAACTAAGATAGGCTCGACTCTCTCTTTCATGGAGCAATAGTCCCCAGCAGAGTCGCCACCTATCGCACCTCGAAAAATTCATCTCGAACATACGACCCTCGCGCGAAAGGCACGGAAAATGCGGTTCGACAGAGTCGCCACCGAACTTTATTCTTCCCGAATAGACGGGAGAGGAAAATATTGAGAAAACCTCATAGACGCGGAAGGAACACGGCCGTCGCAACCATATTCCTGGGTTCGGGAGTCGGTTACGCGAGGGGAAGGTATTAGCACCCCTCATGTCCGTTGTACTCAATGGGAACCTCTTAATTCGAGTTAATGGATGTTAGCTAAACTTAATTCTTCTCTTCTCACTACTAAATGCTAAAGGATACTATAAAGGGATAAAGACACTAGGGGAAAGGGGATGGTTAGAGGATAGGGTGCTCGCCAAGGATTGGGGCCCTTGTGCCTACGTATACTCATTCGGACGATAATGAGAAATCAGAGCGTCGTAGTTCGACTACGGGAAAGGATGGGGGAAATGGAATATGGAGGGGATTGTGCTCGCCAAGATCATCGCAATCTTGTGCCTACGTATCTTACATTCCAGAGTGAATGAAGAATCAGAGCAGTCGTAGTTCGTGGTAACGACCACAAAGAGGAATAGGATTTGAAGTGAGTACGGATGACGATTACTCGAAGTTTAAGAAAGACTTCTCGGACTCAAGTAATCGGGAGATTGAACCAAAGACTTGGAACACTCTCTTTTTCATCATGAAGGAATAATGTGTTTGAAAGGATAAAGTTGAAATGATGACGATTAATTAAAGCTTAAGAAAGAATTCTCAAACTCCAAATAATCGGGAGAGCGGACCAAAGACTTGGAACACTCTCTTTTTCATCGCAAGAGATGTTATGTTTGAAAGGATGAGTTTGAATTGACGAAGATTACTTGAAGCTTAAGAAAGACTTCTCAAACTCTAAATAATCGGGAGAGCGAACCAAAGACTTGGGACACTCTCTTTTTCGTCGAAAAGAAAGTTGTTTGAGTTTGAAATGGTGTTTGGGATGAAGAGTAGTCGGATGACGACTACTTGAAGCTTGAGAAAGGCTTCTCGGATCCAAGTAGTCAGAAGAGCGAACCAAAGACTTGGGACACTCTCTTTTTCACCGTAAAAGAAGTTGTTTGAAAGGTGAATGAAAGGATGAGTAATTTGGAGATGGTTGAATATTGTCGGGTTTGTTAATATTATTTAAAGGCGTCAATTGCTCACACACGAATAAGATAACTCGCATATAAACAACGGAAAGCAAGCTCAAAGACCTAAACCCACTCTTTACACCTTGAAAAGGATTGAATAGTTTTTTAGTTGATTGATAGTTTGTTTCGAAAATCCTCTTGACGTTGGATCAAGGGTTTGACTCATTATCGCGTGCAAAACGTGTTGAAAATAAAATTGTTTGAAAAAGAGACCGACTTGACTTACGCATCAAGGGTCGACTTGTAATAGGTTGATGGCGAATGCGTATGAGCACTCGACTTACAAGGGTTTGAAAACGGCTCGATGATGAATCGAGAATTAGTTTGAAAATAACTTGAATCCGCTCTAGTCCCTATGGGTGCTCCTAGGAGATAAACTCATAATCAAATAAATGCGAAACATACATCGGAATGGGGAAGGGATACATGTAATTTACACGGGATTGCACGAAATAAAGGGGTCTCATTGTCAGGTAGCCCAAGAGAAAGCCGTGTGTGTGCATTTGTGTCCTAAACTACGCCTTGCGCAAAGTCGGGCACGACTTAAAATCAAGATATCTGCAAATAACCAATGATACAACAGTCCACCAATTTGGCTTTTAGGAGTTTCGATAATTTGTTAAGTGTTTTCAAATATTGGTGAATGAATGAATAATGAGATATGACAATAATAGTATGAATAAATAATGTGACAATAATATAGTAAGATAATATAACAATAATATTCAACAGAAATTAAATTCAATGGTTAGTGAATCGAAACGGGATATGAAAGAAAGGATCTCGTCTTAATCGCAAACATAATGTCGATTAATCGAAGGTAGCCTATCACGATCCCAAAGTACGGGAAATGACCCCAATGGTCATTCACCATAGATTTGAAATCGAGAAGGTTATTAACCTCGATACGCGACGCTTACGAATAAAAGACTTCATTGATCCAAAAATCGAAATAAAATCGGAGAAAAACAAGTGGTCTCAGATCCTTTGTTTCACGTCAATATTTTGACGGCTAAACAGCGGAAACTTCGTCATCGACCGTAAAATAGTAACATGAAAATAAGACTCAAAATGAAATTAAGGTGAATAATAGAGAATATAGGCGTATAAAAATGGTTTAAGACAACAAATTGTCACCACTAAAATAATTAGTAATATACTTAGCAGAATAAACATTAAAATAATTCAAGTAAAACTTAGTACTTATTATTATTTTTAAAATAAGAGAATTAAACTTAAAAGTTTCTTAACGAAAAAAAAGAAAAGGTGTATGCCTGAAAAGAAGGGTGCCCATGTTGGGAGAACACCGTGAGATTCATCTGGGCTCGTAAGCCCATCATCTCGTCCAACACTAGCGGCTGAGGCAAACGAAACAAAAAAACTAAAATAGGCCTCCAAGCCCGCCCTCACAAAGAGAAAAAGAGTGTTTCTCAATAGATACAAATTGCGATTGCCAACAATCATCCCTCTCTCTAAACTCCGCTCTAACCAAAGAACAAAAAACCAAAAAGAAACAAAAGCACGTATTGATCCGACCATCCATCCTTTCAAAAAGTTAATGCGCCCACCCAACGAAGGAAGGCAACAAGGATTGCGAGTTCAACCTTCTCACGAGTGAAATCCCCTTCTCGTTTTGTCCTGGTTTTCTTGAGATTTCGACTTTCTGGGTTTGGATTCAATCCTTCTTCTCCTTCTGGTTTAGATTTAAGAAAAAGGGTTGGTGTTATCTTGTGATTTTCGTTATGTTTTATTGATGAAAGTTGGGGAGAATTCTGTTATGGGTTGAAGTTTGGGAAAGAAGAAGAAGGGGGCGTTGTATTTTTAGGGTTCTAGAGGAAGATGGCGAGTGGGGTTTCGCGGAGGTTATCGACAAGTTTCGAGCAACGATTTGTTTCTAGGTTGTTGAGGATTTTCGGTGGAGATTAGGTTTGAACGAAGAGGAAAGGTCTAAGGGATAAAGGCGGCTTGTTGGGAGTTTGTGAAGAAGCTGGTTTTGAGGACTAAATCCGGAGGTTTGGAGGTTTTGTGGTTGAAGGTTTTCAATTGTTGAAGGCATTGAAATGGTGCGGTTGAAGGTTAAAGAGGGTTTGCGTTGTTTGGAGGTGAGCGGCTGTGTGTTAGGGTTGGCTCTCTTTTAGATTAGGGTTTTTTGAAGGTGGGCGGCTCCTCTTGGAGGGTTAAAGTCCTTATTTTTATATAGGGGAATCTCTTGGAGAGAAGGTGTCAATGTTGAGCTGGATCTCAAGGCTTTCTATCCAGACATATAAGAAAAGTAAGGTGCAACTTTTTACCGCGGTGAAAATTACGAATTACTGCTGCCTTCTTGCTTCCTTATAGGCTGTAAATGACAAGAGTCCCACTTGTGGTATCATGCCCGTTTATGGTTTGTATCCCTAATTTTCTCATTCTCTTTCTCACTGTCATAATCTGAATAGATTTTATTGGCGTAACATTGGTCTTGTGCAGGGGATATGTTGTATTGTGGGTGGTTTGGAAAGACACATGGTGGGGCTTTGAGGTATGAATGGATTATAATTTCAGTGAAGATTTGAATCGGTTTATGTCTTGTGATTTTAAGAACATTGGTGTGTGCATAGCTGACTTCTTGTATATCTCAATGTTGATTACTTTCAGGTACGGTAACTTCTGAACTTGAAGAGCGTTTGGCAGGGGGTTGAAACAAAGATTGGCCTCGACCTGATCTTTCTGCATTTCTGCTAGTCCCAAAATACTATACGAGCTATAGGACTAGCCTCAGAAGGGACCTCACTCAGCCAGGGTAGTAACCTTCATCATATTGTAGACAACATAAAGCTTCTCCACTTGTGATGCTTGGGTCTTCTTATAGATTTTCCTCTTGCCTCATATAAAGTTAATAACAATTCTGACTTTGTTTCGACCATGGATATTGCCTTGGCAGGAAATCTATTTGAAAGACCATGTACTACCAGCAGAAGAGGCAAAAGCTCACCGGCCGATAGATACTTGGCGTGGAAGGCCAGCTAAAGATCAATGAGTAATAAACATCGAAGCAAAATTCTTCACCTGGGATCCACCCTTATTTGGGCTCAACAGAAACCATCCACCTTTAGTGATTGACAGAGTTTTCTTGAATGACTCATCTCTGGTTTCTCTCCAAAGCTTCATCGTTTCGGTTAATGGTTAGGGTTTCATAATTCCCATTGCATGATGATGCAAAATTTTCACTCTCCAATTCCATTTCTTCTACTCGTTCTTCAAAATATGAATTGATTCATATCTTCTTCTTTTGAGTGGCGGAAGTTGTGATATGGAAATGTATGGTGTTTTTGAAACTCGGAACCCGGATGCTTACTGGATTGAAGATGCTGATTTAAATTCACGCTTTGCAAGCCCGAGCTTTGAACAGTCTGGTGCATTGTTTAATGAAGGAGCCCCTGAATTTGTTGACCAGAGCATGTATTACCCTGCTGCAACCAATTATGGGTATTATGGTACAGGATTTGAACCGCCCGGGGAATGGGAGGACCAGCAGAGGATTTTTGGTATAGAGGGTCCTGATGTTCAGTACATGGGTGGACAAAATGAAAATTTTCCATATGTATATTATAGCTATGGATATGCACAGTCTCCATATAATCCGTATAATCCGTACATACCAGGTGCAGTGATAGGAGTTGATGACTCATTTTGTGGAGAACAATCTTATTACACCCTCCCTAATTATCAAGATCCTGCTTCTTCACCTTCTTATGTTCCCCTTGTTCAACCTGACAATTTTCCTTATAATTCTGCAAACTCCTTGTTTGGAGCCAGCGCTTCTGTCAATAGACCTGATGGAAGAGGTTTAAAACATAAGTTCAATTCAGCTTATGGTAACTTTTCTAGGAACTCTTCACAACTTTTATCAAATCAAACAAGTTCCTTGGCCAGGGTATCAGAAGGGCCGAGAGCTAATGATGGAAGGAAGCATGCAAGTGTTTCTGGAAGTAGGTTTCTCAACATGGCCTCATCAGCTATTCATCAGGATAGAAGTTCTGATGCTTCAGTGCAACCAGTAAGTGCTATTTCTAATGGGAATGCTATTTCTCATCGTAATCAATTGAAAGTAGCTGCTTCAAGTGAATCTTCTCATTTTGCATCAAATCCTAATGGACAGTCTGCAGTTGGTAAACTTAGGCCGAAGGTTGACATATTTAAAGTATCAAATTATGGAAATGGCAGCACTGATGTATTGGGTGAGCAAAATCGAGGCCCTAGGACTAGTAGATCAAAACTTCTTCAGCTGATTTTCTTGTTTCTTTTTATAATTTCTGGACATCACTGCTTTTCATTGCTGCCCAATTGCAGTTCGGGATGTACCCGCGTATAGCCTTGTATGTACGACTTTCCGCGCGGCTTTGTTTATTGCTGCTTTATGAATATGCTTTTGTGAAGGTTGTTGTGCTGTGCTGTTGTACTTTTGTACGAGTTATTGGTGTAATGGTCTTGAGAGGAATGTGAAGTTTGTTTTTTTTCTTTCCTGTGAGATGTGGTTTTTATGCAGGCTTTTTTCTTTTGGAGTGTTACTCAAGAGGTGAAGACAGCTGGTATAGGTTAATGCAAGAAACCGCAGACTGTAAACTGCACCGTGGTCGCTCGTTGCGGAGTCTGCATGCCTACCATCAACATAATACCAAATGATGAAAATGTGAATGGGCTTGGGCCTTATGATTTTTCTTTTAGGACATGGGCTATGTACTTCAAAGTTTAGCAATTTTGGAGAACAATTCTTCATATCTCTTGTAATGAACATGAATTTCCATGAATATAATCCTCCATTAAATTGACTCGAAATACGCTCTTATACTTTTTGAGTTTTCGTTTTGCTTGCATAGTTGTTCTTGTAATAACATGAGCTTCTTTTTTTTATTTGTGTCACAACAAGGCAATGCCACTCTTGAACTTCTAAAAGTAAATGAAAGTATTAGAAGTAACATAACACCTAAACTTGAAAAGTGAAATTGAAGTGAGACAACATTAAATCTCAAATTCCTCTATCCTTGAATTCTCATTAAAAACAAAACTCGGAATGAATTAAAGCTTGTATCAAAAGTGATTCAAATCTTGAAATCGATATTGAAGAGCAATTGAGTCATCTAAAATTCTTGCTGAACTAATTGCCACTTGGAGTTACAATGAGCCACAATCTTTCAACACGAACCCCAACGGTTCGAATACAACCGCAAGGTCACAGATTTGACCCATGAACCGCGTTTTCCCACAATCCCTGGTTGCAAATAAACCAATCCTTAATGATCTCCAATCATGAAGCATTCTAAACTTAGTACCACCGGACCTTGAACAACAAGCAGCATATTTTGAATTTCTGGATAATTATCAACGAATGAACGTACAAATGAAAATTATATACAGGTAGGACAAATTTGGGGTATGACAGAAAGGAAGAAATAGAGCAGAGCAGAGAAGACAAATTTTGTGAGTGTGACGCTCGTCACAGCTCCATGACGCTCGTCACGAGTAACACGTTCGTCACAGCCCCATTACGGTCTTCATGAACCAAATATCAGAATAACCTCCAAAACAGAACTGGCCACGAACACCCTCAACTTAATTTCTTCCTACACTTTCTCCACTAACTGCCCATTACAGGAAGTTACTCCCACTTCCTCCATAACTCACGCATGATCTCTGGAAGTTGGGAAATGAAATATTTCCTATAAATAGGCCTCAGATTCACAGCTTTCAGGGGGGTGGATTCTACATCCCGAAGGGCTACCAAAGTTATTTTTCAATTTCTATTGTTTCTTTTATTTCCTTTCCTTTTTCTCTTTTGTTGAGATCATTGTATTTCCTTCTGCACTTTTATTTCGCCATAGTAGAATCCTGCCGACATTGTGGAGGACTACTCGAGAATTCAATTGCAATACTACTTTCCAGGTTCTTATTAATTAAATACTTATTTTATTTCCTTCATTATGCATGTTATATCATTTTGTTGTTTATGTTTATTTCCGTTTGCATTAATTATCATGTCTAGCTAAACTAGTTTTATCGGTATGTAAGCAAATTAGTAGGACGGGATTCGATAACACCCGATGCCATTACCTTTTTTTACAAACAATTTTTTGACTGTAGTTTTTAATTTAATTTTCTAAATAAACCTTCGCCACGAGAGTGAGAAATTATTTACACGGTTTTGCCATGAGAGTGGGAAACTTATTAAGGTTCGAGCCGGCACGTGAGAGCGCGGGGTTTGAACCGGATAGTAAAAACTAGGCATTAATTTTAAACGCAGCGACAACGCTTTAAAAGAAATTAGAATTTATTTGTTTTCAAAAATTAGTTTTAACCCCAAATGAGACTGCTAGAGCATACATTCTGCCTTAGAATTATAACCCGAGTCAACAACCAGCGTGAGACAAAGGTCTTTAAACGAGTATTTTCTCCTGAAAAGTATTTGCAAAAACTAAAAAGCACCGGTGACCTGTCGAATCCTTGATAACTAAGGCATTGCATACCGATATCCCTTATCAATATATTTATAAAACTAATAACCTTTATTTCCTTTAAATTTAATTTCATTTGCATATAACTTTCCTAATTCCATTAGCTTTAACTTTACGCCGCAACAATAGATAAAGGTAGGTTGACATTGGTCTATGTGGGTTCGACAAATCTTTTATATTACTTCGATGTTTTCGTGCACTTGTGGACGCATCAAGTTTTTGGCACCGTTGCCGGGGACCAACAGTCAATATTGTGATTCTGTTGTTGCATAGTATAGACTAAGACACTCTTATCTCAATTACTATGTATAACCCAAATTTCCCTTATAACTACCACCCCCAATATTTTGAGGAACCACAAGATCCGCTTAAATCTGACCTCGAAATATTATTGGAGGATTTCAATACGACGCACTCTCATTCAAATTCCCTCTACAATTACCACTCCCAATATTTTGAGGAACTGCAAGATTACAATACATCCAATCTTGAACTATTACTAGAAGAACTCAATGTGATGTTTACTCACTCTAGGATAGAATCTATGATGGAGCACTTTGTGGAGACACAAACTCTCCAAAATGAAGATTTTAGAAAACAACATCTCCAAATTAATGAAAATCTTAAGCAGATGAGAATTATGGTCGATTCCCTCGTGATTCACAGCGAGGCTTTGGAGTCTCAAACCTCCCTGCTTACACAAACACCTTTAGGACCTTTCCCTGAGAGACATATGGATGTTGTAACAACCATTAATGAAGAACAAATAGAAAATCCTAGGGAGAGTGATCATGAGTCTGAGGAGAGTTTTGGTGAGAAAATCATACATATTGAGAAAAATCCACCGACACCACCCGAAAGGGAGGTTGTCGAAGAGGTAGAGAAGGAAACACCTATTGTTTCTCCTCCTCCCTATACCCCACCTATTCCTTTCCCACAAAGGGTTGTGGAAACTAAGGTAGACTCCCAATCCAAAACATATGTGGAGGTATTGGAAAATATCCACACCAATGCACCTTTGTCTAAAGTCCCTCATAAAAAAAGAAAATCTGAGGACCATGAAACTAGGGTCATCATTACTGTTAAAAGGGTAAGACTAACTTTTGAGGTAGTGGATGAAATAACTAAGCCCAAATTTGAAAAACTGATACTCAGGATAGATCCAAAACCACCACCACGAGTTCAAAACAATGAACCACCCTACAGAAGAAAGAAAAGAAAAGGTGAAGGATATGAGCGATGACTTGATAAGTGGCCATGAAAATCAAAGACTATTCAAAGTTCGATCAAGGAACCATTCTCGAAAGAACCGCCATGAGTACCTGCACTCCTTAGCCGTCGAGCTATCGATGTTAAACAAAGCGTTGTGTGGGAGGCAACCCATAAGGTCTTTATTTTAAGTTGTTTGTTTGAATTTGCAGAAAATAAAGAAATGTATCGCTTGTTACGCTTTAGCTATATCTAGGCGAAAACTCTCTAAATGACGATCAAAGAAGATTTGGCACGCAGTAACATTCATACAGGTTCTATCTTTCCTTTTTCCACCTTTTATTAAAATATTGAGGACAATGTTTGGTTTAAGTGTGGGGGAGGAACTCTACTGCTTTCATTTTATCGCTTTTTAGTTTGATTTATTGTTTTATATTTTATTTATACTTTTAGGAATTTTATCTGTTTTTAACGTTATCAAAGTCTTTTCATGTGTTGTCGAGTCTTTATGCGTAGTTTTCACTTGTTATTCAACTTCCCCAAGATTTCAAAATTTCAACCTCCAACAATTTTTTGCTTCGATTCATGACATGGTACTCTGAGAGTATATAGCCTATTCAGGCTATGTTAGAAAAACTTGGGAAAGTTTTGATAAAATTTATATCATCCTGACACCCTTAACCCCCTAAATATGCAAAATCAATTTGAGTACCCATTATGCCGAGACCTTAAAGCTCCAGTTCTTTTTAGTAATCCCTAAGTAGTTTATTTAAGCAGTCAGCACCATCCTAAACACACTAAGTAAGAAACCAATGCAAATAAGTGTATGATCTCTGGTTTAAAATGAGAAATTAAGAAAGAAATAAAAATTTATGAATAAAAAGACATGTTCCTTCTAAGTTAGGTGCTCCTCACCCGATCACTTAGCCCAACGGTACAAACTCTTTAAGTTCAATTGATGCTTAAGCATATTTGCAAGAAAAATGAAATAACAATGAGATCATAGTCACTAACAGGTTTACTTGCCACGAATGTGTATGGGATAACAGGCTTAATATGATTGCACTAGATTGAAATGGGGTGAAAGAGAGCATGAGATATAAGTTGAGTTATAATGGCATGATTCAGGTTAGTCTGCATAAGTAGGGAGTTTTTGAAATTGTGTTGTTACGGTATCCTTGGTATTGATATTTAGTACCTATCGATCTAACATTAGCCTAGCATCCACGTATGATTAGAGTCTCATCGTGTCTTTGTTTCGAATTATGCCTATTTCTTTTTACCGTGTTGGTTGATTGCTTCATGACAAGCAATGGTTTAAGTGTGGGGGTATTTGATAGTGCGAAATTATATCGTTTATTTGACTTGACTTACATGAATTTATTTGCGATTATTGTTAATTTATCTTTATTTATGTTCTATTACATGGTTAATTTACTATGTTTTGCAGATTGTGGAGAATTTGGATTAAGGAAAGAAAAGAAGAAGAAATGGAAGGAAAAGAAATAAGAAAGGAAGAAATAGAGCAGAAAGTAGCAGAGAAGACAAATTTTGTGAGTGTGACACTCGTCACAGCTTCATGATGCCCGTCACAGCCATCATGGTCGTCACACTCCATTACGCTCGTCATGAGTAACACGTTCGTCACAGCCCC